CTCTCTCTCTCTCTCTCTCTCTCTCTCTCTCTCTCTCTCTCTCTCTCTCTCTCTCTCTCTCTCTCTGTGTGTGTGTGTGTGTGTGTGTGTGCATCACACACAGACACACACACGCACAGAAACCAACCAAGGGGATTTGGAGCGATACACAGTCTGGAGAATGGTGCACGTTGAACATGACAGCAATTTCGCAAAATGATGATCAAGGTAGTTGCTGCTATGGAACGTATACACTTGCTATTTAACGATGCGCATGTACTATCGGGCAGGGCCTTCACAGTCGATAAACACTACAGTCACCAGGTTCAACAGAAGCAGCAGCGTTATGAATGCAATGCGAGTCCTCGCTTACGTCGCCGTGTCTTCACTCCGGTCTTGCTCTCTTCCTTCCAGTGCCGTGCGTCCAGAGCGGGCGGTTCTCTCTTCGCCACCGCATGCAACAGAGAAGCCAGTGCTGCGCTGCTGAAAAGACCGGTGAAGTCACTCTAATGCATGCCCAGCGCTACGTGACATCATTTGCTTCAGCCCCTCGGTATTCGCTCCAGCGATTGACGTTGTCATTCGGCAGTGACCCCTCCTTCTTAAATGTTGCTTTGTTTCTGGCTGTCCACAGCGCCTCCATTATAGCTCCCCTACAGGCCAGGGCTATATATGCCAGGCCCGTAGAGAAATCCTGTGCTGGGTTCATCATACCATAGAGCATCCATTCTTGTGACCACGAAAACCGGTCACCTGTAAATGATTTCCACTTTTCCTTCCACCATTCCCACACCTTGAAGGAGAAAGGACAATACAGCCATACATGGGAAGCGGTTTCCCAGCCCCAGTTACACCGGGCACACTGTTCACTAATCTCCATACCCCTAGCTGCCAGACATACTGCAGACGGAGTTACGAGGAAGAGTTGTAGCCAGCCCAAAGCCGCCTGCTTTTGAGTGTCATCAACTTTAGCCCTCTCCACATACCAAATAGATCCAAATTACCCAGTGTAAACCCAGGTTCCTTAGCAAGTCTCTCAGTAGCTGTAGATACCGCTTGTTTCTTATCTACTGCTGTTAGAACCTGAACACCAATTTTGGGTTTGTAGTTTATCACTGGTACGGAGGACCCTGGGCCCAAAATATCCTTCCAGCCGTACATCAGAGGTTCGATCTGGAGGTTGGAGGCATCCTCTACTATCAGAGTGGCAACCTCCTTCCCCTTCCAGATACTGAGCCAAACTCGACATTCTGTAAGGCCCACTGTTAAAAGAAGAACTATCCTATCCTCTATTCTGGTCAACGGCAAGGGCATGGAGACTCTCGCTTTCCGTCTCCAATCTGCATTTTGAACCCTTGTGTCAACTCAGTGCCCACCACTCTTAGGACGAACTGATTGTCATCAGGGTCTATGAGCCAGGTCCCTTGATTATGCGCTACTGTGGTGGAGAGCATTGCAATCCAGTAGGGGGGAATGCCCTTTTGAATCAATCTATAGTTCTCTTCAACGTTCCGAAGCTTAGAGAGTTTCTTCTTCAATTCCATCAGGGGCAGCCAGTCTTCCGACTCCCCATCCCAGATATGTTTGATCTGTATCACACCTCTTTCAATCCATGCATTTCAGAAGGAACCACGACTTCTGTCTGCTTTCAACCATCTGCCCCCTGGTGAGACAATGAAGGGGTTCTCAAAAAGGATCTGATTCAAGACTTCCTCTCTTGTTTCCGATGGCCTGAGAGTCTGTGGAAAAATTTTATGCCAGGCCCGGAGAATGCTTCGCCAAAGTCTGGACTGCGGTCTCCTAGCAACAAAAGAAGGGATGAGGCAGCACAACCACACATCTGCTGGTCTGTGTAAGCCCCATTCCTTTGCCAATATATATTCCGCCAGACGAGTCCATAACTTAGACCGTGCACCAAAGGATGCCGCTGTCACCCATTTGCACAATAAGGCCAAGTTTTGCTGCAATGGATCTAGAATTCCCAGACCCCCTGGGCCCTTGCTACGTGGCACCGTCAGCCGCGAATCCTGCGGCCTCGCGGCCGACTTTTTGCGCGGCCGTGCCACAGCCTGGCGGGGGCGCGCGCGGCTTGCGCACCGCCTCCTCCACAGGGCCACGCAAAAAAAAATGAAAAAAAAAAATTTTTTTGGGGTGGGTGGTTTTCAGGAAGAACAAAAAAAATTAAAAAAATTAAAAACACAAAATTTGTTGATTGAATGGTTTTTGTTTTTTGATTGATTGATTGATTGATTGGTTGGTTGGTTGATTGATTGATTGATTGATTGATTAGTTGATTGATTGATTGATTGATTGATTGATTGGTTGGTGGGGGAGGGGTGCTCCCTCCCCTCCCCGGCGCACACACACACACACACACACACACACACACACCCACACACACACACACACACACACACACACACACGCGCGCATACAGGAGAGGAGGAAGGAGCAACAGGAGCCGGGAGTGCTGACTCACGAAGCTGAATGATCCTGCGGGCGAGTGCATGCATTCCTCTCTCTCTCTCTCTCTCTCTTTCGCTCTCTCTCTCTCTCTCTCTCTCTCTNAAAACTCGGCGCAATCGACACTTACCCATACCGAGAAGGGCAAGAAGAAGGGCGCGAGGAACAGAGGCGGAGGAAGAACGGGCACCGCCACCAGCCTGTCTCTTATACACATCTAGATGTGTATAAGAGAGCTCTCTCTCTCTCTCTCTCTCTCGCTCTCTCTCTCTCTCTCTCTCTCTCTCTCTCTCTCTCTCTCTCTCTCTCTCTCTCTCTCTTTCTCTCCCTGCTTTTTTCTTTTTTC